AACCTGTGCGATGTTTGGATCATGAGCCTTCATTCTATCATGCTTTCTCTTTGCGAGTTGATTTAAATCTTGAAGTCTCCTAAGTGTCTTATTCACTTTATTTGTCAACCGCACTGTTGGATCGTACTGCTTGCGTCGATAGGTGGTTGTGTTGGCCAGATGAGTTGCATTTTCAATAAAACTCAGCTTTGTCCATTGACAGTTGTACATCCTTTGTCCGCAGACAGGATTACGATGGTTTCGACGGCATTCAAGGATTTTAAGACACTCGTCTCTTGTTGCGAAAGAGAGTTGTGTTTCTTGTTGCGTGCTAAAATCAGAACGACGGCATGTCTCGTTTCAGTTTTGGTTTCTTCGTTAAATCAATTGGACTGTAAGGTATTTACGAATTCTGCGAGGAACGCTGCGGTTCCAGCATCCTTGCAGTTGTAGTTAAGTCCCTTGATGAGGACCTGTCATTCATTCAGTGTCACTGAGCGGTCGTTTGGACAGGTTCATGACCCAACCATCGTTGACATCTGCGCACTTCAAGCCGGACAATTAGGACAACTTTTCAAGGAGGGCGGCCAGCTTTTTTGCTCTAGCAATTGCTGCATTGCGATCTAACACTAGGTCTAGCTGTTCTGTCATTTGTTGGTCGAGTATTCTAGGCATTGTAGTTCGGTGTTCCTTAGGAAATCTTTCATATTTTTTGATCCGACTGTGTGCGTCAGTGATCATCATCCTCATCATGCGTTTTCCAAATTGCCTTGCAACTGCCCACACTTGCGGATAGTTTATCGGAGGCTTGTAGTTGACACTTCTGGGGAGAATATCATTCGGTGGACATTCATGGAGGAAGGATAACTGTTCTCGTGTGCTTTTCGGCAGGCAAAGTCTTCGAAAGCACGAGCAAATCGGATCGTTGAGCGCCCATGATTGTTTGCGATGATTCGAAATACCTGTAGCTCGGGTTGGTAGTTAACGTTTTGATTGGTTCTCCGAGCTGAGTAATTTAATGGCAAATGTTTCACCACTTCACTCAGTGACATCTTCAGTGCACGGCGCCGTAGGGGATAATCTCACAGAAAGTGTCGTCGGGAGGTACTGTTTGAAAATGGTTTAGTCGATCCGTGTCCCGCACCCTCTGTTCGCTCGATTTTCCGCCAATTCTCAAGCCGCACAACCTGATTTTAGCTCACATACCAACTGCGGCTTTGAAGGGAATCTTGTCTAGACCTAAAGGAAAACTGGAGGCATACGAACGTCGAAATGTCGTCTACAGGATACAGTGCGAGAACTGTGAGAAAGACTACGTGGGTAAAACCGGGAGAAAACTAGCTACAAGAATACAAGAGCGCAAGCGTACATGTCGATACCATTATGCATCGTTACAGATCCCAACGCATCCCGATGTGGAAGGACAATGTTAACTGGGACAACACGGAAATTCTGGCGCACGGAGGCATAAGAAAAGGAAGAGAATTCCTCGAGACATGGTTCTGTACGGAGAATTCAGTGAACCTCCGCGTTGACCTCGATCCAGTGTACCTACAGCTGAGAAAGCATGAAAATAGGAGGCGAAAAATCGAACGAACAAAGATCACGGGACACGGATCGACGAGGCCAATTTCAAACAATACGTCCGGACCACACTTTCCGTGAGATTATCCTCTACGCAGCCGTGCACTGAGGATGCCACTGAGCGAAGTGGTGAAACTTTTGCCATTAAAGATGCAGGAGCTGTTTTTCTTAAACTTTAATGTAACTGCTTAAAAGACATCTTGATCGAGGGGGTTGAACTAGCGCAGTGGTTTTAAGTGATAGGAACTGTAGTTTGGCATTTTCTAGCTGAATTCTTGGATGGCAAGTGGAAAAAAATGATGGTACGCTTCCTTGTTGTATCTTTATGTCAAAGCTTTTAAGCCAATCTGCAAAAATAACTGCAGTCCTCCCCGCCTTTTTATTATTCTTGTAAATTACCGGTAGTCATTTCACGTTAATGTTTTTAAGAATTCGAGGGTTGGCTGATTTCCTAATCACTAAGGCTAGTTCCCGCTGACCCGGTAGGTTAGTACACAGCAGAACTGTGATTTGATCCTTGCTTCTATTTCCACGTGCTCATTTTACTCGTCTGACAAAAAACATTTTCCACTCGTAGCTCTGATTAACAACCCAGTTTCATTCCAATTATAAATGTCTTGAACTGCGTAACCAGAACATAGTTCGGTAATGCTGCCATCCAGTCTGATGCAGCGCACATATCTGAGTCATCGCTTTCACCAGATTGCTTCCCAAACACAAGGTTGTGCCTATTGATCAAAGTCTGTAACCAACGGTTTGATGCTTTCGCAAAATATATAACTCGTTCCTGAATACTTGGTCCAGATAGTGGGATTTTTCTTGCAAGTGCAGGCCGGCACTATATCTAACAAAGTGTGTTTATGTCTTCATTTCCGGTTTTTCTGCTGTTCCTTTTTAAAGACGATGCATTTTTTATAGTCGTTTAAAAACTCGGCTTTCATTTTTAAAGTTTGATAGATTTTGTCATTCCTACTTCAAAAAGTTCTGCCAATGTCCGCGAACTATATTTTTCTTGATTTCGTCGAATCACTGCTAATCTTTCTTCAAGTGATAATGTCCCCAGCTTTGCGATTTTGGTAGTAGCCATTAGGTCCTCTGTCAGACACTTCAATCAACTGTTCCACCCGAAATGGACACAGAAGCTGTAGTTTTTATTTATCTTCAATAATTCATGCGGGACGAATACTCGCTTGGCTAGACAACGGCGCACAGTTTCCCTATAGGATTGGGGATTTGCCAATAACGTGTACTTTGTGGACAAATCAGACTAATATCCCTATGCATGAACTTACCCATGACGACCACCGGTGCATGGTGACCACATTTCGTCGGTCCCTTTATTGGTTGCCTTAGACAGCAATGGCGTAGCATTGGGGAGAAGGGTGTAGATACGCTCCCGGGAGGCATGTGACAGAGCGGCATTTTTAGTCCCCTGCAAACTGATGTATTCTTTGCGCTGAGACCGTAGGCTGGTCTTCACACACTTATCCGGCCCTCAGTAAGGACATGTGACAACATGCGAGGGGCGCTGAAATTGTTATTTTAATCATTTCTTCGCAGGTCAGTAGACTCATTCAGTTGTTCATGCACGATTACACATCCGTCCCATAGTCAGTGACCACATCTGTTCCAGTATTCTACCCGACAACCATGTTTGGAAATCAATGTAAGACTCAGGTTGTTACACTGGCATCGCCGACTGTCTCGATGACCTCACAGTTTGGGAACACTTGTGCGAGCGCAGATGGTGCGTTCAACACACTCCCACATGCAGCTGAAACTGTGGCGGGGTGGCCGCCTTTTACAGGTTCTATTGAATGTGGGGATCACAAAAACCTGGTCGCGATTGCGTTAGATAGGTGGACGCGATACACAGGTTAAGAGAGAAGAGAACACACGAAAATCGTGGGGGGTGTTTTCGGCTGGTCGCCATAATCTTGAGTCAAGAAACCGACTGCTTTGACTTCTGCCCGATACGCTTTCGCGTGACCGTCTCCCCAAGTTCAACACTATGCATGAAAAGTTAGTTTTGCGAATTGTCAATGGTAAGAAAAATAGCTGGGAATAATGAAGCATGCAGACATGACCGAGTAGAGATAATAGCAGCAGATGAGTAAGGCAAAAACTTTCCCGCATGACGGATGACTAAAATGAACGAGAAAATAAAAAAGGACATGCAAATGTAATCAAGCGGCTTACAATACCATAAGATAGTTGGCGGCCTAGCCAGGGAGGTAGTGTCTTCGAAGTCCAACATAGTCCTCCGAATGGTAGAAGGGGATGAGACGCATCATAACACAGTGAATAAGTCAAATAGACCACTGTCATCAAGCATGGTCTGGTGTTATGAGTCGCTGACAACAAATTTAGCTGTCAAGGGTTTAAAATCCCCAATGATTCAAAGAAAGCTGTGTCCCATCAGCAAGGCTTGTGTAGGTTTCCAGAGGCTCAATCCTCTATGGAGACGGTGGGATTTCAACCTGTTAGTGAATTTGTGAATAAGGTTGCGATAAGGACGGTTTTATTGTACGGAGCAGAGACCTGGCCAGTTCGTAGTAAAAACATCAAACGCATGGCCGTTTTTACAACCGGTGCTTGCGGAGTATTGCTCACGTCTGGTGAACACCGGGTGAGCAATGTTAAGGTCTGCCAGTTTTTTTAGCGAAAAAGCTTCTGGTGCCACATTCAAGTGTTTGCTGAATCTTAATCGCTTACGTTGGCAAGGCCATGCCTCCGTATGCTCGTTGACCGGCTATCTCGGCGTGCATTACACGCCGTGGCTGCACCAAGTTGGGCTAAACCGTGAGGTGGCCAGTCCATGACGTGGCACAAACGCTTGAAGAAAATGACTGAGAAACTTATTCAGGATGGTGCATGTAGTCTTCGTGGGTGGGAGCCTCGGGGTAGTCCACACCCATGGTTGGAGACCCGCTCAGACATAGTGCGGTCGCGTATTCAGTGGCATTCCTGCATTCGGTTTCTTGCATCTGGTTGTTAATTTTCGTTCCATTCTTATTAGCCTAACGCACCTACTTTTTGCTTCCATTTTCTTTAAATACGATTTGCACTCAACTCCACTATCTCGCCATTGTTGTTCTTGCGATGTGAGTCGTGGCACATGGATCCACCGCACTTCCGTGCTCGGATCATAGTTTTTCAACTGAACTGAACTCAAGGAAAATATGCACTGCTGACGTGTCCAAGTAGAGCGAGGTATCAGCAGTACGTCGGTAGGCATTACCGACGCTTCGCTGCCACGCAACCACCTCGAGCCGCACGGGAGTTAAGGATACTGCGACGGTCGCCAGGTTGCTTACGCAGGCTCGAAACTGCAACCTCAGAATATAAGGCAGCTTGTGATCCTTAAGGCAACGGGCCGGCACCCGGAGAAGCCAGCCAAATAAACCATCCGACCAAAGGTCGAATTTATTTTTTACCATGCACTACCATGTACGACAAAGAACCGTACAGAGAAGTGGCCATCTGTTGCTTACTGGCACAGTGGATTATCAAGTGATGGCAGATGAGAATGGCGCTTACAAATTTAGGCTTGCGTGCGAATACCTAACAATGGGATAGCGAAAAGCGACGGCGACCTGAGGTCAATCTCAAAGTCGAAAATCTTAAATCAGGATGCTCATAGGGTAAATGCAATCAGATGCAGGGAGTAGAAATATGTGATGTAATGATGGCAGCAATTATGGGGAGTACATTGGTTAAACAAAATAAGTGCACGCAATGCTAAGTGCATTACAGAAATGCATACTTGAATAGAAGGAAAGTAGAACGGCTTGCTGGGAGCACGAAGGCTACGTGACTCGCCGGATTCTTGTGAAGTCGGCTTATCTGCTGAGTTAAAAGCACTCGAAAGCTCGTCTTCACTCTTTCTTTCCGACTTGCCATCACTGCGGTCGTCAGAATTGTCGTGCTCATCTGATGCCTCTGATTCAGAATAAAGACGATAATGTTTGAGTCGATCGGTTTTTGTCTCGTGCTTTATAACCGGATTCTCATGTGTATTGGATACAATGTCGGTGATTGTCTTATCGGGGGCAGTTTCATCGACTTGTTCTTCTAATGAATGGTCGTCTGAAAGGTCACTCGCAGATTCTTCCCTGTATGGGTTGCGTGAAGACAGACCTGATAGACGTAGTTTAAGTGCTGCCGATTCATCGGTTACAGTGGTGGTAGCATCACTAGAATGGTGCTCACGAGGCTTGGGCTCTGAAGAACCCTGTGGCTGAGATCTAGATCTGGGCTCTTTACTGTCCCTGGAGCTTCGGCTGCGCTTGAAAGGATAAGCGAAGGTAGTAGTGGACTCCTTCAGCCTATGCTTTTCGGCTTTGGAACTTCTCGACAATTCGAGCTCTGATATTTGGGGGCGAAGTGGTTCCGGCGGAGGGGCGCTCTCCCTAACCTCGCGACGGTATTTGTGTCTGTGTTTGTGCCGTGAGTGGCTAGGCTGCGATTCAAATTGAGTTGAATGCTTATGAGATGCCGAAGAGTCATGAAAGCTTTTAACAGATGTTGATCTGCGTGCAATTGGTGAAGACGAGGAAGACGAGCTCGACGACGTGCGGCTCGATTTGGGACTAGTTGTCAAAACAGGATTCGGAGAGCGATTCCGTTTGCCCATGGACTGGCCATACACGTAAGATTCCCAATCAACATAATCAATTTGAACCGATGACTTGGCTTTATGAGTTTTTGAAGCTTTTTTGGAATCTTCCCTCAATTTCTCGTGACGGTCACGTTTCGATTTCTTCGCCTTCGATTTCCGACCCTCTTTTGTCGATCCTGAATCCGGTTGATAATGTGTGACCGCCTCCATGACCTGCTCATATAGCAGATAGGAAGAAGAGTAGGATCGGGAAACACCATCGGAACGCGTGTTTGAATGCGAAACCGACCCAGACTCATCTCTGCTTGATCGTTTATGACGGGACCGTCTGTGAGCCAATTCTGGAACGTCGCGCTGAGAGGAGACACTCGCAGCTAAAGGATGTAAAGAAAAAAGGAAAATTGAATTTATGAGAACAAGGAGACAGTTTGGTGAGTAACCGCTTTCAATGATTCATCATCAGACCAGAACAATCATACATAGGGTTAAAAAAGGAGAGAGTAAAATCGACCAGTTAGTACAAGTAACATAGACGAAAAATCGAAACGCATTAAGTACATGTCACGGAGTTTGACTTCCTGCCGTTGACCGCAGTAACCCACGTTTTCGTGGGCCAGGGAAGCTGTAGAACCGAGACTAGCTTCTTTTGCGAGTATAAGGACGGTTGAAATAATCGAATACAAATTGCTTCGGCCGTTGCAAGTGTACGAAGGTATTGACCTTTCGATCAGTGCAGTGGAACCTTGTATACAACTCTAAAAGTACGCTTTTGATCCACCAGATGCCCGCTGTCGACAATATGAGCCAATGCTTATGTCCTCAGTGCCACCTTGATGCAACCAACGTGGGTAATGTTTATTCACGCGCTTGGACAAGTGCCGGATATATGAAGCGCTACGCGCGCTCTTGTAAAAATGAGCGGTGTGTTAACTGACGAATTTTGAAGGCGATGAAATGAAAAAGAAAGCCCACAACTCCTGTAGCAAGAGCGGCGTATGCGGATAGAAAACTATCAACCGTTGCATAATGGCAATCTATCGGTTCAGCTCAGTCAGTTACCTATGTGTAAGCCGATATATGATGAATCCGGCTGCAATGGTTCACAATTACGATAATAAGTCAAAGCTAAATGTAATGGGTAAAAAGTAAGGTGTTAGATAGAACAGTTAACAGTCAGCGATGCCGGCCCTTGGCTTTAAGGATCATAAGCTGCCTGCTACTCTGAGGTCGCGAGTTCAAACCGACGTAGGAGACCGGGCGATCCTCGAAGTATCCTTAACCCACGCGCGGCTGGTGGTTGCGCGACAGCGAAGCGTCGGTAATGGGTACCCCCGTACTACTGATATTTTTAATGGTCAGTATTAGGAAAGAATGTGAGAATATTGTATCTAATGGTATAGCCAACCACAGACTCAGATGAGTTCGAGACTCCAACCCAGAGTCTGACAACACAAATCAACCTGTTACAAACTTCCACAATTGGATTTGGCAAGCGACAAATTGGCTGGCTGGAAACCTCATTAAACCAGGTGCGTAACTTTCAAATTATAAACCAAACAAACCAAATGACGATCGTCATTTGGTGCTACTCATTCAATGCTCATACTATCCAAGTAACTGGTATCGAAAAGTGTCACGTATGCGCTCCGGAATCGCGCCGAATCGTCGCATGGTACTAAGTTGTCAGTCCATGTTTGCAATTGAACTAGGACACCTATTCTGCATATGTAGATATGAGACTTCAGCTGATGTCTGGAAGATATGTAAGAATGTGGCATGATATTGTGATTTAGACGCATGTTACTGTTGTTTGAGTACACGATTAGGATCACATACTTTCACAGCCGATTTCAATTAAGAGCTCAAAGTAGATGACGTATCGGACATCCGTAAGAAACGCCTATGCGATATCAGGGAATAGAAAGGCCGCACATACGATAAAAACAGCTTGGGCAGTTACTCAGGGTTACACAATTCTACATATTTTCCGAACTCCGGAACTTCATTTGCTTTCGAAATTGCTTAGTGATTGTAAATCTTGTTACAATTGATACTTATTATTTTGCATTATCTGCGATAACGAAAAACAAAGACCACGTACTACGAAAGTACAGCTTGGTTGCGCATTCTGTTTCGAAACCAGCTTTAGCTGGAGCACTGTATTATTCCAGATCATCGCTGATAGCATTCCGGATTTACCAGTCACTGCGGCTGCCATGGGGACAGTCACATCACGCCTGCGCCTGCAGAGACCATGAATGCCTTGCGCTGCACCACCCACAGCTCTATCCACACATCCCATATCCAGTGGAAACCAAAAAAGAATAAGATCAAAAAGTATGTGGATGGGCACCACGTTTCATCAACGGAGTCGGTCCACAATCCTTCAACATGCACAGTAGCAGCATTCCTGTCTGTCCAATGAGGGAATCATGCGTACCAGACGTACATAAGTCGGCGGCTGCGTCGTAGCCCGCTAGACACTAGTTAAAGCCACTCTCTGAGCTTGGCACGGCCACGACCAACTGTCTCCTAGTACCAGTATATTGGGTGTAGCGGTTTCCGACAACTATGCAACTTGTCATTCATTCATTCATTATACACATCAGCTACAGGTGGGAAAAACACCTCCGCTATTGTGCCGCAATACATGAAGGAAATACATACATACATACAATACACAAAGGAGAAGTAGATACAACAGTTGCATGCCAGCTGAGCTACCAGCAACGGATAGGCATCGTTCCGGTAAGCTTCCAGCTAGCTACTAGGCAAAAAGAAAAAAAATATTATGTTTTACCCTAGGAAATGAGATCGTAGATGGATGGGGAGGCAACTTGTCAACATTCACATCAAGCGCAGACACACCGAGGTTATCAAACAGTAAACACATAATATGAAAGAAAACAAACACGTAAACTGGACGGTACAAGAAGACAGAGCAAATACAAAAAGCGCATTAAATCTGATCGCATGTGTCATCTTAGGAAAGCGCAAGTGTAAGTCCGAGGATATAAACCAAGGAGCAACGAAAACGATAGACAAAAATGCAAAATAAACGGGGAATATGTAGAAATTTAATGGAACTGAGGGACTACAAATTAATGGAGTAAGACTGATCTAATGTATCGCCACTGTAGCCCAATCGCAGAGAAGGATCACAATAAATGCAACATCAACTCACATCATAAAGTAATGCAATTGGCGTGCCGGTCAGAGCAAAGTTCACTCCAGAGGGAATTGTGGGATATCTAGGGCAGTTTGAACTGTGGTGGGTCGTAAGTCTGAAGTACAATAAGTACTAAAAAGTGTACATTTGCTGACTACGATTAGCCGTAAAGCATATTCACTTTTGAAGAATTTGGCATATCCCAATTTACCGTCAAAACTTCCGTACGAGGAGCCGAGAACTCAGTTACACGATTCTTCACTTATAGAACCAGTGATAGTACAAAGAGCCAAACTTAACATTCTGCAACGACAACCGAACCGGGTTGGGTGTGAGTTTGTTTTGCAGCTGCATGCGCAAGCCTCCCGATTTTCTTTCGGGGATAAACTGGATAAGCATCTCAGATATTGCTCAACTGCAAGACATTATCCCACCACGAGATCGCAAGTTGATTTCACTTTCTGATCCGACATGGTTGGCGGCATCCGGTTCCGGATTTGCCTGTTGCTGCGGCCATCATGGGGACAGCCACATTACGCCTGCGCCTGCAGAGGGACACCATGGATGGCTTGCGCTGTATAACCCATAGCCCCATCCACACACCTCATATCCAGTGTAAATCAAAAAATAAGACCCGGAGGCATGTGGGTGGGAGCCACGTTGCATCAACGGAGCCGGCCCAAATAGTTTCAACATGCAAAGCAGCAGTATTCCTGTTTGTCTAGATAGACAATCATGACTACCAGACGTAAGCAAGACGATAGCTGTGTCACAGTCCGCTCCACAATGGATGGAACCAGCTTTTGGACCAAGCAAGGCCACGAAAACCGGGCAACCCGCCCCCCAACCAGAGAGGAGTAGCAGTCTTCTAGAACCGGGAATCAAGGTGGAGTGTTAGACAGGTCAACATTTACATCAAGCTCAGCAACACCGAGGAGATCATACAACTAACAGATTAGTTGGGGGAAAAGAAACTGAGAAATGCTGACACGCTATGTAGCAGAACATGACCATAATCATCATTAATACATTTTAAGTGAGGGTGAGAAACACACCTCAGCTAATGTGTCGCAATACAAAAAAGGTGATAAAAAAGTAGACTACAAAAATTCAAAAGCAATGAATACAATGTAAAATATCACATTATGCATCTAGTACGAGATCGTAATTGGAGAGAGAACCTAACGGAGAAGAGGATGGACAAAGAAACTCACAACTGAAACGCCACTGGGGAAGGATCCTTGCCATGTCAACAAGTGTATCCAATCAGACGTGTTTATCGTCGTTCTGACCTTAGCCAGGCAATCGGGATGAACCAACCAACGCTAATTTCAAAGTGAGTGTTTTAATTTCTCTCAACCAAGCCCTAGCTTAGCCTCCTGTTCCCCTCTTACAATCTACCCTTCAGGGCGAGAGTAATGTCGCGCCGCCGCCATAAGTGCCATAGGTTAGCAAAAGCACTTCGAGCCTTTGCTATACGGTTCGTGATCTCGTCTTCGATCCCAAGGGCGCTGACACAACTTCCCAGGTAGTTGAATTTCCGAACGACTTCTAGCTGATCCCCACCAAGGGTCAGCACAGTGGGCGATCCCTGCCAATCTTGGAGGCGTGCTTTACATTTCGATGGTGCAAAGCAAAGCCCGAAGCAACTGACAGCCAGTGCTAATCTGTCCAGCGCGGCTTGGCACGTCTGGGAGCTGTCACAGATAAGGGCAATGTCGTCTGTATACACAAAGTCAAAAAATCGTTGTCCTTGGAGTAGCTCCACACCTTCTAAGTCATGTCTTGTCAATGCAATCTCCATGACTTCGTCAATAACGAAGTTGAAGAGGAAAGGTGACAACGGGCATTATTGTCTCACACCGCTGGAGATATTGAAGAGTGGCGACAGCTCAACACCGATTGTGAGTCAGCAACTTAAGACAGGAAACCTCAGTCGCAGATTTCCTACTGTGTGTACAATTTTTCTTGAAGATGTCGAGCAATGTATATGGGGAAAACGACCAGGCGACAGTTCGTTAGAGCACGAGGGCATTGCATAGCTTGGCTCTACAGCGGTGTGAGGAGGAAGGTAACGAGTGCAGTGTCGTCGCAGTTAGCAGACCCCGATCACCAAATCAATTCGCTTGAGGTATTCATACCAATTTACGGTGTACCCGGACGTTACACATGAGCGGTCACATGCCGCCTGCTATCCACAGGAGAGGCGATCGTAATTCGGCTCCATAACCCGGACCTGAGTGCACAGAAAAAATTCGTCCAAACAATCACATTACCTTGGCCACAGGCCAGCATGACTAACAATGGCGATCACACCACTTTATCCGACTTCACATCAACCAGACTAATAAAGTACTTATCGATTAGATACTTTGCTTCAGTGTTTCACCGCGTTTAAGCGTCTTGTGTCCATTCTAGTCTGCTTTTTTGTGATTGTATTATCATGATGATGGAACCCTGAAAACAAGTTTGTTAACTACCTTCTGTTTCTGATGTCTTCTTCGGGAAGTATCTCTCATTTGAATCTCTACTTATACAATGTGATGGTCAATGACCCTAATTTCGGATATGCAGTAGACGTTGGGTGTCTAACGTGTGCGCAATTGCAGCTTATTGACCTATTTGTATTGGTGTGAAGGTCGAATGCAACCAAAGAAACCGGAAAGGGTGGCCATATAATGGCTGTTGACGATGGGTCGTGCGGATAATGGTGGAAAATGGCAGAGTATTGCAACTGTTGTAAATTAAGTTGGCAATAACAAGTTAGTAGTGGGGGGTCAGGAAAAGAATAGGAGAAACATGCGGAAAAAGGGGATATCAGAAGTAGCGTTTTCGTTTATATGCCTTGCTTGATGCAGCAGTAAGGTGATCCATTTAAAGCAATGCGACGGCCGATGAAAGGATCTGGCTAAGGTTGTGTGAAACAGTCATGGGTGTAGGTGGGTTGAGGCATCGACAATGTGACGGCACACCGTACCGACGCTTCGCTACCCGCGATCAGCATCAGTCGTGCGAAAGCTGGGTATATGGAGAGGTCGACCGCACTTACGTGGATTCGAAGCGGTTACCGCCTGATTAGGAGGCAAGCTCCCCGGTCCGAACAGGTGGACAAGCAGCCGACTCATTTGCACGCGTTTTTGACCACTCGCAGAGGTAAAAGATGAAAATTAAAAAATTGTGTAACATGTCCAAATACGCTGTCGAACATAAATATGCACCATAAACACTGCAGTTCTTTGCCCATAAATCTGTAATTTTTAATAAAACCGTACTTTCAGTCAGTGCTAGTGACCCACAGAGTGACGCTGGGTGACCGTTATTTATGCCCCTGGCCGTCCAAGTTGGACACGTTTGGGATGAATTTCGGTCACTCAAGAAATTTGTCGGAATCAATCTCCGCTTATTGTTGATGGTATTTGCAACCAAAAAATGCATTCACGATATATCTCAAGGGTGCACTGGAAAAACTTTTACGAGCGACTGAAATTCGTCTCAACTGTGACACGTAGGGCGCTACAACAGCCACTCCAGCGAACATTTCTCGGTCACACGTGCTATGCGGGTCGTAAACCTTTCGGCCGCTGGCCATGAGCTGGGATATTGCCAGGATGCCCAAACGATTAGGGTCCTCAACCAAAGCCTGTCCACCAGCAGGCGGGTAGGTGACAGCGATCCGATTTTACAGAAAGTAACATCATCTCAAATCCCACCCCGATACTTGAAGGACTAGGAGACTGAGTTCCGCTAACCTCTAACCATTGATCAACCTGATAGGGGTAACACTAAAGAGGCCATAAGGCACAACCAAGTATAGCTCAATGTGTCGAAGAGGTACATAAACCGTAATGCAACGTAAAACTGCAGTCGCGCTGTGGCGGCTTTAACAAACGATAGTGTTTGTCGTGCATTACTTTCAAGTATGCGATGGGGGCATTTGCACAATTTTATGCAAGCAGGTCACCATGTGATGTGTAAGCACTAGATATGAGCAAAACCTCGTAGGCAGCTGTTATCAGACAAGGCCCACAGGATGCACTGGACACACCTCCAACAAATACAATAATCTTGGTCAAGTTGCAAAGTATAAGATCTTTCATTAACCGGTCAGTTTGCAGGCTTCGACGCACCATAGGTACCCACGCAATATATATATATATATATATATATATATATATATATATATATATATATATATATCGGCGGGAGTACCTATGGTGCGTCGAAGCCTGCGGTGGCTAGATCCTGACAGATGATCTACCCACTGCTGCTACTGTTGCGCCGTTGGCTCATGTCCTGGAGACCTCCTCGTGGCGATCGCTGGGTGGGAGTTGGGTTTCGTCCTTCTCCCTGCTAAGATCCAGGACACCAATCCGCATGAGTCGGCTAACTGACCATGTGGTAGACCCGCTGCTTTTCGCGCATACATTTAATCGAAGGCTTTGGCTGAGGACCCGAGTCGTTCTCCTATCAGGTGTGGGTGCCCTGCCAGTATCCTAGTCCGTCCTCTTCGGAGATTGGTAAGTGGTCGATGGCTCACTTCCCGTAAAACCTAGCCATGGGAGACAACAGATCCAAGGGTTATACGCTCACCGCTCGAACGGCGTAGAGCACGAACGCCACGCATTGTCTCTGACGGTGAGAGGGCACCTCCGGGTGTTCAATGGTTTGCTACTGCCCGCCTCAAGCCAGGCAGCCTCTGGTCAAATTGGGTCAAACCCGCCAAAACCCACCTGCGTCTGGCCGTGGTCGCAGGGGTATCCCACTACGGTCGCAAAACATATATACATCGTTCCAGTACCTCAAAGGCTGCGTGTGACGGCCGTCAAGCAGACCCCAATGGGTCTTTGCAATCACATTCCCGAGCTGGATCTGCTCTCTACTGCCTTGTGGATCAGGCTATTGAACCAAAGGCTCCGAAGCCAACTAGACCTAAAGGTTAGGGCGCTTTGATGTTTTACTGAATTCGGTATGTAATCGAGTCCAGGTGAACCCAGATTTTTCATCAAAGTCAGTAGAAGAGGTAACACGGTAGCCAGGTGAGAATTCACCTTTATGTTCCAAGATGGTCTCGGTCATCGTAAAAGACTCATGCAACGCTATATCCGTGCCCAGAAGCTAGATTAGCCTTCAAGACTAAAAGACCAGTACCATATGTAGCCATGACACCGGCTGACCAAGAACTGGATCGGCTAGAAGGAGCCAGCGACATCACATCTGTGAAGTACTTTTCATTGGTCGTATCCATGGCCGTAGCGAAGAAAGCGTACGATAAGATAGGTATCTGTGCGGGTTCCCCAATTGTCATGACTGCTACTGATAACGACTACTAGTACCCACTACGTAGGCCGGAAGACATTTTCGCAAATCGAACGGCGGTAAGTGTTTCTCCAAGTTTGATCTGTCCGAGGGTTACCTCCAATTGGAGGTTGCCGAATACTCGACAGAACTAATGGAGAGTAACACACATCGTGAATAGTATAAGTGGTTACTTTTTGGTGTAAAAACGGCACAAGTCATTTTGTAACAGTTGGTGGATACCATACTGAATCCGCCGCATATCTTGATGACATCACCGTAATGGACCGAACAGTGGAAGTCGTTTAACAGATTAGCAGAAGTGCTTGTCCGTAGCCAATCATCTGATTTCCGGATCTGTGAAAACAAATACACGTTAATCACGCTATCAAATACCTTGGTCTCACCCCTCGAAAAGATGGCCGTCGACCAGATCTGGTGAACAAATAAGTCATGGAAAATGCCTTCGTTAGCAAACCTACAGTCGTTGTGGGCCTTTTGTACCCTCAGTAGTCAGTACAATACACCTTCGCCAGATGCACTGTCTGGGTAACCCGCTGAATCAGCTGCTGAGCAAAAAGCAAGCCTGGAGGTTGACGCGAGAGTGCAAACTGTCTTCGTATGAATCCAGTCATTATTAGCCTTAGATCTGTAGCTGATCCGCTTCTACCCCACTCGCGAAACCATAGCCCTGGTAACAAGAAAACATTTGGCAGGCTCGATCGCCAAGCGATATAATCAGTGTAACTACTGCAATGAATGATATATCCCTCAAACCGTTGATGAAGCTTGTCGTCAAGGTGTTCATCTTCGAACTTGGAGATCGGTTGGACCGGGATGAGCAACAGCAGTATTGTATCACCTGCATTGTCAGTAGAAATGTAACATTTATACACCCCGCACAGGACCGATAAGCGGATACTTAATCTTCTCAACAGATGACTGGTACAGACAAATCGACATAAATACTGGAGTTACGCCCCAGGTCTCTGCTCATTAATTTTGATGAGTTTCATAATAGAGAAGCAGACAGTGGTTATGTACTGGTACCCATCTAACTGGCTCGTAGTTTGCATTCCTATCAGGTGCAATGCCGACACCGTGAGAGCCGTTGCAGTGACCATGATCAATAACAATAGAGCCAGATAGTCCGAGTCCATATGGTACCCCTGTTCTGCGCGTTCCAAATAAAAGGACACCTATTCCGTAAAGGTATATTGACTATCGGTGCGTATAATGTCGCAGAACGTTGAACAATCCGACGCGAAATGAAACTCAGAATTTGCTAAACGGTTCGGGGACATCATTAGCACGACATCTGGAAGCAGTGAACGATTAAGAGTGAGGGAATATTCGACAGAGGCAAACAGGCCCAGTGGACTTCTGTAAGCAGGAAATGCAGCCCGATAACCCATTCTGAGGCGGTGTTTCTGCTAGAGAGTACTAGCCTCCAAGCTCTGACTCAACGGCTTGGTCCACAAGACAAGTGGAAGTCTGCTTAGGAACTGAACCGTGAGCTTTGATCATGTTAACTAGCAGAGTAATGTGCAAGAAATTCAGATACGGAGTGTGGTCGTGAAAAATCCGTTTGTTCCGCCTGGAGATAGGCACGCGTAACCTCAATGAGTCATCATATGAAGCGGCTGTAAAGTGGAATGCTGCCCTATAAATGAATGCCACCAGGGTGTGAGATCTTCCAGAGCCCGCACGTAAAGGAAGAGAATCTCAGTTATATAACGCAGACATCACTTAATGGCAACTGAAAGTTGGAATCGAATAGAAAACGCACCACCCTAGTCTACATTTCGAGACAGCAATACCAAACCAGCATTAAAGGTCCCAAGTTAGAAGGGAAAAGTGGCAAAAATAAACGAAAGTAAGACGTCAACTCGCCTTTTTCAGACTGGAGTTTATTTTCCAATGGCGCCTCGTCAGAATGTGCATTATTTTGATCGCTACTTGAGCTAGACTCGAACTTAGAGCGGGGCTGCAAAAACTCCGAATGACTTTCACGAATAAATGAGCCTTGCTTGAGGTCTGCGTTAGGTGCGTTTGAGAGAACACGTTCTCGTTTGCGGCGTTCGTGGCGTTCGTGTAAGCGATGTCGATACTCAGCTTCGTCTAAAATAAGTTTTGTGGTGCCTCTTTTGTCCCTCGTCGTTTCTTTTCCTGCTGCAAAGTCGGATCCGCTGAAGCGGCGTTGATCATCGTCACTAGACGCTTCACCTTCTTCACGATCACGCGAACCACGACGTTTGACGCCAGCATGGACTCTCTTCGACTTAGATGTGTGAGAAGTGGTAGGTTCTTCAAGATCATCGTCTGAGTACTCCTCGCCTTCTTCCCGTGGTGAGACAAAATGAGGGCTACGATTATGGAATTTACGAGTGCCCAAGTTAGCTTTCCTGTGATTGCTTGAGTCGCGATTGGATATGGTGGGAAGCTCTTCCTCATTCTGCAGTGAACAATGTGAAAGTAGTGATGTGAAATGGGGACAATGTACAAAATGCTGACAATATGAATAGCCCCAGCATAACGACATTTCAAGAGCTGGGTGATTTTATTCATACACAGTGACCTACAAAACATCAAGAAAATTCGGGATTCGTGATGTCTATATGCAGCCGTTCTAGAGAGAGAGGAGTGAACAAAGAACGGAAAATGGAAATGTCGATGATAAAACAAATTGCCTGAGGTATCTGATCTGCTAACAATGGTTGCAAGGAGAGTAACACTAGAGAAAGCTGTATCGAAACGTGTATGGTGACTCTGGAAACGTGCCAGAGCATCAGCATCTGACACGATGACAAATCAATGGCGATCTATTGCAGCCGCCATAAATTCAGGTAACGTGATTAACAAGTCGGTGTACGATTTCGGAAATGAAAAGATAAGCTGCAACTTTCTTCGATTGTACAGAACCATCCAAAAGGAGCTCAGGTCAGCTCAAACGAAAAACTGTGATTCGTGAGCCTAATTATAGCGAATGGAGTTGACTTGAACCACATAATAATAATAATAATAATAATAATAATAATAATAATAATAATAATAATAATAATGGGTATATTTCCTCTTAAGTGAGAAGCTGTGTCCATATTTGGCACAGATCAAGTATGTCCAGGTAGCACCATGCTCTTGCATGGGCAATATGAAATTGTGGCGATTAAAAATCAACGGTATATTCCTCATCGGTGCGAGATACAGTTTAACTGTATATAAGGAATCTTGGTGTACGGCATAATCGAAAGAAGCAAATGTCATATTTTTCGAATTTTCCAAAGCAGTACTCAAGCTTTTTGGCGGACATGACTAATTGGTGGGTTAAATCTTTCTGGAAGATTGTGAAGTTTTAAAAAATAAGTGTAGATGAATAAAACGTATAAGTGAAGTAATACGGCCATTACTGGGACCGCCTCCTTGGGGCCTACTTCCATGCGAGTTACTCACTGGATGGATTTCACCCGCACTTCTATGCCCTATCTGCCCGTGTGCTGGTGCAGTTTTTAAAGCAGGCAAACCATCAGTTAGGTAACCCATCTTTAGGGCTGTTTCTTGTGTTTATAGTGTGGACAGTCAAAGCATCAAGCGCGTACCATTAACTGGTATTTTTGAGTAAACCACCTTTATATCGCCAGGAAATCAATGGTAATGCGCCTTACATAGACATAATTATTAGCGTTGGAAGGTTAAATCTGTCACCTCAGGAGATCGACTCAGTCGTGATCAACAGTGAAGTAAAGAAAAATATAAAATCTGTGCGCAAGAAAGATCGACCAAATTGTATAGGGAGTGTCGAAAACGTAAAGTAATAACAATGAACAATTGAACAATAACGACAATAAAAACGATAGCAAAATGGACAATAAGTAATACTTATGAATGGAAGGATTTTTGATGAGTATTTCTCTTCGTCGCAATCAGCCGACAATTCAGATATGTCGACCAGCTATCCGGCAAAGCACCACACGGCCGTTTCGCCCTATTGGGGCTCAGCAGTGGTGCGCATCCTTCGGTCCTCTGCGGAGGATCGAACCCATGACTGCTAGTGGCTCTTGCCAACTAGCACGCAGCTTATGCAACTGCGCCATGGAGGACGGTATCTGACTATCATGAATTGTTGGCTAAATGCGATATAGCCCGACGCATCCTCCACTGCCATGCAGGCACCTGCCATGCAGATGACAGCGGTCGGCCTTCCGGCGTCAGGACTTCCCGGTTACAGCAGCTATGAATCGACATAGCATTTTGTGGAATCTGTACGGGCGAATTGGTATTACTTATGAATGGAACGATTTTGGTAAGTATTTCTCTTCGTCGCAATCAGCCGACAATTCAGATATGTCGACCAGCTATCCGGAAAAGAACCAGACGGCCGTTTCGCCCTATTGGGGCTCCAGCTATCGTTGGACAATGAGTAAAATCGTCTGATGAAGAGACTGTCAGACTTGAGGAAGCAACGCCTAGAGCGGCGCTGAATTGGTGGCTGCGCCATATCTGATAGGATACCTGACCACTGATGTTTCGCTTTCGAGTCCTTCATCCAGGAGAAGACAAGCATCCACTCTACTTAGTCTTTGTGGAAGTCACTGCATACTTCTTTACCATGCAATGATTGACCACCACTAGGTTTCAAGTAACGATGAACAGCATTGGTAAGCAATGTGCGAGTGTACAAGCAAGCTAAGTCGAATGGAGAAAAGGTTCAAAAACATTAATCAATCATTATCTTACATAGTCTAGTTCCTCGTCGACTTCCGGAAGAAATTCCATCTGAACGGGTGTAACAGGTCCAAAACACACCTAAAAGAATGCCAAAGCGGATCAGATTGTAAGCAAGTACATAATTGTACGCGAAATTGTATACTAAAATGACGGCAACCGTAAAACGAGAATCACGGAGGAACAACAGCGAAATCGACCATTGCATCGGAGTAGACTCATTACAGCATAAGTTGCTCCATGCAAAAGCAAAAAACAAAGAACCACGGTCGGACAGACAGCCACATTTATACGGAACTCATGCCAGTAGTTATCACCGGCTACTGGGTTCCTTTCGAAAGATCGAAGAAACAAACGTTTGTTTCCTGAGGCCAGATCATTTGCCACCGTTCCGTTTATTTGTTCGAATAGTTCGAAGATGAGTAGTAAGGTGAAGAGTGTTAGTTAATCCGGTTTTCTCAAGAAATTAAACTGAATTAGCTGTGTTGACTCCGGCACGCGGTACACATGTCCGCATATCGCATTCCGAGAACCCTGTTTTGTTTGGCGGATTTAGGTTAGCGATTGTTGACATGGTAGTAAGAAATAAAGTTGCTGGAGACTAAATTAGATGCAGTTGGCTCGTCTCGCTTTCCAATCTGAGATCCACAGGACACAGCTGCTTGGGTTAAGACTCAACAACACACGGCTCAGAACAAGCGTCAGTAGCACGTCTGTTACCGTCAACTAGCTGGACTACCTGGTTACAATGTGTATGAAACTGAGCTAATTTGCAATATAGTTGGATATAATGCAAAGCAAGTCGAGTCACAAGGAAGTTATTTCATCGACCTCCCCTTATTTTCGTACGACAGCCATGTAATTCTGACCGCGTGGTGCCGACAAAGTAAGAGCGATTTGACCATGAATGTTTTCCTAGAACAATAAGATTCTATAATAAGACTCCGTCGCCTTTGTGGTGTTCTTCATTGGTTGTAGCAAGGTTAAACATCAGTATAACAACGTGAAACCATTGCTATCGATGATGAAGACTCTGCTGTTGGGGTTTGCTGCGATCGGGACTCGAAAACATAGTGGTCGATTCCTAGAGAGTAGGAACTAGCTTGATGTTTATCGTCCCAGCATGAAAAGGTAAAATGGTACCAGCGAAATAGGCATTAAGAATGTCTCAGCAGCCTAGTTTTGACAACCCAGCAGAATGCGCCTCAGTGATCGAATTGACAACAGGTTAGCTTCTTAAGAAACGTTGTTGGAACTTCAATGTTATTAGACGGATAGTGGCTGAAGAAAGAACGCAGTCCACATTTGGTGAACTATAGGTAAACAACGGTTATGTACGCTAAAACCATCAGTGGTCAGAAAGGTTTGATGAAAAGTCGGGAAGGAAACCAGCATGCCATGTGACAGAGTGAGGAAACAGCGCGCTTTAATGTCCGTAAGGTTACACGGTTAAGCGAAAAACTTCATCCGAAGTACAGTGCCCTTTTTGAAAAATCAGTGAAAACGCTGCTAACTGGTGTCAAGGTCGTCGCATCCTCACTCCTAGGTCATAAAGGTAGTGAGTTGCCATAAATCCAAGTTCGCTACTTTTAAAAGAAGTGGTTAGTCATAAAACTCTAGGAATTTCAAAGAGCGCAACGTAAAAGTTGTTTCGAAGGAAATGTGTGTAAGAATGACGTGAGGTTGTTTGGTCCTGGCCAACATATACCCTGTTCAGTGCAATCTAGATGTAGGGATATGATTAACGCGTTGAAGCGCCATACGTCCTGTTTAAGTGATATATTTGGTAATACTGGTAGTAAAACAATAACAAAACGGTGCATGAAAGAAAAAAATGATTGTCGATTAAGAAGGAGGAGGTTTTACCTCTGATGAAGTGAGTTAGGCGTTCGGTTTCTAATCCGTGGTGCGGGGGCCACACAATACCCCAAGCCGCATAAAACCAATGGCCAGTACGTGGCAACGAAGTGTCTGTACAAAATTCTGTTGAACCGCCGATAATTTAAACGTCTGGAAGAGAGTAAAAAATTTTAACATTATTAGATTGGGTAGCTGGAGTCAGAAGCAGAGGAGCAAATGCATGTAAGCAATTGACTTAGCGACTACATTGCGCCCAGTTGGGTTTCTGATAACAGATCTAGTCAACCACGGGACCCCAATACAGGGAGACGGCATGGATAAAACAGGATAATACTTGGAAACTGTAGTTGCATCACTTCGTCGTATCGTCGACTGGCTACCTCGGCTGGTGAAGAACACGTAAACCGTAATCCATTTACCACGACATGCGTCAGGGCAACAATAAGTGACAACACAGTTGGAGGTGAGAAGCAAAGTGAAGTGAGGGGTTGGGGAAAGATGAATAAAGTTAACGAGGTTCGAAAATCAGCAGCCAGATGCAAGAGACCGAATGGTAGAACAATAGTGACTTCACCTCCACACCAAGTCACGTAGCGTATGGCAACCAGTGACGTGATCGATCCCAAGCCCATATGAGTGAAGACACCACGCACAAGTCCGACGAAGCTACACAGCCGACTTCCTAATGCTGATCGGTCGCGTCATCAAGTGGCCGTCTAATTTCGTCCAGTTCGGTGCAGCGACGGCCGACCGCGCATTCATAAGGCCATTAATGGATATAAGGCGAACATAACTTAGCCAAGGTAAGCGATTCGGGTTAAACAAATTACATCAAGTGAGGCAAAAGCAGCGATGAGACAATCGAAGGCTAATAAGACATGTTGGTTAAGGATGAGGATGCACAGTTGATGAGTGAAAATCTGGTCAGTGCACTCGAAGACAAATCAAGACGCAATTATTTTCGTTAAGGAAATCAGTACTGAGCGGCTACTGCAAAATGGATTGGCGTCGTAAAGCGGCCCGGTGTTAGCTTAGTTATCAATTACACTTGAAGCTGCCTAGATAGTGATTGACATACATCCGATGCTTAAGCTTCGTAGGAAGGAGTCCGAGTAAAAATACACACTGGTGCATTCAAATGACTGACATAAGTGATAGATTGGCTAGCTAAAACAGCATACGAATGACGTTTACAACACATCGTCCCGTGGAAACGATCCTAAAGAGGTTTTGCTCATCATCACTACATGATAGCTGAAGGTGAGAAACGCCTCAGCTATTGTGTCGCAATACAAATACAAAGATACATAACAATAAAGAAACAGTATAAATACTAAAACATAAAGTAATATGATGCTTATTATCGTAGTATGCATCGGGTATGAGATCTGGGCTAGAAAAGCAAAATAAGCCGGAGAGTGAAGGACAAAAAGGCTCACAGCACAAACGTCATTGAGGCCGGATCCTAGCAGTGTCAACAAGTATGTCCAACCAAACGTGTTCACCGTCCTTGGGTCACCAGCCCGGCGGTCGGGAAGTGCTAACCGACGTCAAGTCCGAAGGATCTTCATAGCTGCCGACAAAGTTATCGCTTGGCCTTCCTTCCTCTTCATCTCCATCGCAATGAGGCTGGACCTAACCGTGGTGCGATGGTTTGTGTGCCTCAGTGATCCGTTGAGCTATGCTGGGTGGTGCTTTTTTGCACCTTCAGAGCCACTCATAACAGATTGTTCAATGGTTAGAGGCCAGACAAACTCAGCCTCCTGGTCCTCCATGTTGGGGGTTGGAATGAGAGTGGCTCCTTATTCCTTAAAACGGACCCTTTGTAGCCCAATGCCAAACCCGCTGCCTTGCGGACAGGTTTTTGAACCAAAGGTTTTGGTTGAGAACCCTAATCGTTCTCCTGCCTAGGCCTGGGCAACCTGACAGTATCCTGCCCACGTAACACTATGAATCTCACTTCAAACAAATTTCTGATGCTCATTATTTAGCCTTATATAATTTTGCGTAGTAATTTTTTTGATGCACATTAGCCGGCTGGGAGCTTACCGGAACGATGCCCATCCGTTACCGGTAGCTCAGCCGGCTTGCACCAGTTGCTTTTTTTCTCCTTTTTTCTATGTATTGCGGCACAGTAGCTGAGGTGTTCCCCCCTCCTTTGGCTAACGTGTATGATGTGTGTGATGTGTGTCCTCTTCGTCTATTCACAATAAGGCGCATAAATAACGCACGCAGAAAATGACCGGTGAATGCCAAAGAATGAAGAACCAGAAGCACGATATCTCCATGATATAGCAGTTGTCTAACCCATAAGGGGCATGCTTATTTGTGCAGTCAGCCATAATCCCCAATAAGAAGTAACTCACATGAGTCCACCACATTCCAAAGAACCAAGCTTGTTGGTTTTGTAGAGAATGACATGTTGCTCAAAATGTTCATTTAAGAATCACATTTGAAACCGATGCGGCAGAAGAAGAAGAGTCATGCTACTTGGCAAGTCGTCCTACTTTGAGGAGGAAGAAGCGCAACAATGCCGATACGTGGCGCAGGCCGAGACGGTCGACACCTGTACAAACTGGTTATAGAACACAGGATGCTTCAGAAAGTAGGTTAAAAATGCTTGGTGAATTGGAAAGGGTAAAACGGCCGGATGCTGAAATGCATCTTAGTGACGCAGAGCAAGGGCGCGTTAGGCTTTCCAACAGGTTCACAAACTCAGCGAAATCCGGCCCGCGTAGGTGACCGTGCTGAAAATCTACTGAGACGTGTGGGCGTTGTATGAACAGTGCCAAAATTTTTGGGCCGCGACACGTGAGAAATCTTGCTGGCGACAAACTGCCAAACTGCCAAACTCGGAGCGTGAGAACTGTGTCAATAGCTCCGTGGGTGACAGATATCAGACGAACTTGGCATTCAGAGGCGGAAGGTTATGGCCAAAACGTCAGTGTGATGGCGCGCGTCTGATTTATAAACAGAATCACTTATAACTCTAATAGAACTTCTCAGGTCCGCCAAATTGTTTCTTCTGCTTTTTTCCCTGGCTAAGCTGGACGGGATCGTACACAGAGAACAGAGGTAGAGCAGCGTTACAAAGGTAACAATGTCGCCGCTGCTGTATCGAGTAGCAAAGGTTCCTTCTGCAGATATGACAGTCGATTTCAATGTCTAACGCGGTACGTCATTTGCAACAG